CAAATTTATCGCATTAGGTTTGTATTGGTATATAAATTTTGTTATCCAAAACAAATTTCAAGGATCTTGAATTAAAAAAAACAACTTCCTCAATAACATTCAGCCAACAAGCACGTAGCCCAATTTTAATCAAGAGAACTAATACCTAAAAAATCAAGTGCATTTGTTTGTAGTTTGTAGTAAAGAGTTAATGAAAGTATTTAGAGAATAGATTTATTTGGATTAAGCTAACTATATAGTAAAAGAAAATGAAATGTGAATAAACACCTATAAGCAACTGGTAGCCCTTAAGCAAAGAAATGAAGGAGGGCACTGTTTAGAAATAAGATTACTATAATGTACACTTGAACAGAAGTCACTGACTTAAACTGCGTTATTGGATCAAAACTAGGTTACTGGGTTAAACTGGGTCAAATTGGGTCCCCAGGTGAAATTGGGTCACTGGGTCTAACTGAAGAGAGTATGACGTGACCTAGGGATCCAGTTTAACTCAGTGACCCAGTTGACCCAGTGACCTAGTCCAACTCTGGTCCGAACGATATGCCTCATTTAGATGTCAGAGTAGGTGTAGGCTTTCTTTGTAAAACAAATAGAGAAATTCCTACTCCAATATGAGGCACATCTGGAGTGGGCGCAAAAATTTCGGTTTCGACGAATTTTAATATCTGAACGTGCAACTCGTAAGCACGTTTTAAGGTCTAGCCACACATAAACGAGACGTGCACGATACGTGCACGAGACGAGTGTCGTGCGACGCTCGTTTTTAATTAATAGCACAGGTTTAAATACATTCAGCCTCACATGAACGTAACGAACACGAGACGACTACGAGATTCGGTTAACGACAACGAGCCGACGAGTTTTGTTTAATTTTTCTCGTGCCGGTGCCGCTGCGCGTATAGGTCCAGTATGTGTTTTTAGTGCAATTAGGTAGTACATAATTTCAGCGTCATTTGAATATTTACCTTTCCTAAAATGGATGTTGAGAAACTTATTGAAGAAGTGCGACGTTATCCCGTACTCTATGATCTCAGTAATAACAAATACAAAAATAATGAGTATAGAGAAAGGGTTTGGAAAAAAATTGCAGAAGATCTACAGGTAGAAGGTAAGTGAACCTTTTGATTTACTATTTTATTCAATTTTATTCTTATAAAGCTGTAGATATAATATTTTAGTCTATAGATTGTGCCCTATAGGTCTGTTGCTTTGTGTTGCCATTCTACCTGACCTGCTGGAGATACAAAGTAGGTTCTAAGGAGATCTCTAACTTGAAATGCTGCATTTGTTGCTCTTCCTCTAGTCGGACGTAAGCTTTGTAAATTTTCGGACGTTTCTAACGTACTATCACCTGAATCTGATACTCGTGCAATATGGGCGTATCCCTCACGTTGTCTTATAAAATTGTGCAAGACACAGGTAGCTAATATAATAACTGAAAGGTTTTCAGGTGTGCCCTGTAATCTTCTTGTATATATACGAAACTTTTGTTGAAGAATTCCAAAAGCATTTTCTGAAACTCTCCTTGCACGAGAAAGGCGATAATTGAAGATTTTTTTTCATTATCCAAGTTTGCTCCTGGATAAGGTCGCATTAAATAGGTTTTCAAAGGAAAGCCTTCATCACCAACAATTATCATGGGTAGGTCAACATCAGAACCTGGAAGCTTCTTGCCTCTTGGTATATTTATTGATCCATTTTCTAAAGACGTCCCAAGGTTTGAGTTGGAAAGTATGCCTGCATCAGAATTTTTGCCATAAGCCCCGACATCTACTGCAATAAAATTATACTGTGCATCTACTAGAGCTAAAAGAACCAAAGAAAACGTCTTTTTGTAATTCCAATAAAGACTGCCGCTATTTTTAGGAGCTTGTATTACACAATGCTTGCCATCCAAAGCTCCGATGCAGTTAGGAAATTGCCACATTTTCCAAAAGTAATCTGCAATTGTATTCCATGTATCTTCATTAGGCACCGGCATAACCTCCTCTAAAAGAATGTCAACAATTATTCGGCATGTATGATGAATGATGGATTGCACAGTTGATCGACCCAATCTAAAGCTGAAAGATATTGTTTTGAAAGAATCCCCGGTTGCTAGGAATCTGGAACAAAAAAATAGTAAATTATATTATTATATTCACCGGTGATTGTTATGTAACTCATCATAAAATAACAGAGAAAATGTATATGGTTGTTTATTCATTGCAGGGGGGCCAATAACATGCAAAACAAAATGGATCCATATACGTGATCAGTTTCGCAGAATTTTAAAATAAAGGAAAACTACAACAGGTATGGCTGCTGGCCCCGTAAGAAAATACAAATATGAAGATATTTTACAATTCATATTGCCCCAAATGTCTGAAAGAGAAACTTTATCAAATGTATCCCAGTCACAAGATGAAGATGCGGAAGGTGATGAAGATGATATAGAAGAGACCCAAGAGAGTGATACACTCCTTGCAGAAAATGACGAGTTGGAGAAGACAATAGAAAATGCTGAAAGAAACGCAAGCAATGATTCATTCCCGAAGCCCATACACAAAAAGAAAAAGATTTCTGCTAACACAATCGATAAACGTCAAGATCAAAGTGCTTCATCTCAGCTGATATATTTTGGAAGAAAAGAGAAATGAAAGGCAGAAGCAACCTCCACCATCTTCTGAGCAGCTTCATCCAGTTGATGCATTTTTAAACGGCGTATCACACACATTGAAAGCCCTGAATCCAATACTCTTAAATGAAGGGAAGACAAAGATTTTTGGCATCGTTCAAGAGCTGGAAAGAAAGCAACTCCTGGATAATCAGTCAAAGGTTGTGCTACCTTCCCAAGTTCGAGTTGTTCACGTACCTCAAGCGTCACCACTAAGTACTTACTCTTCACCTAGTTCTTCTTATGCTTCCACCCCACTTCCTTCCCCTCAATACAATCTACCACTGCCTTCTCCAGAATATAATAACGCTACTCAATCAGAAATGCAGCAGAGCGACCAACACCACCAGCCACCATGGTATTAAATCATAAATGTAATATGTATGACAAGGTTTTTTTTTCAAATAAACGTTAATAGAGCGGCCATATATTACTTGTAATCAGAGTGGATATATTTAGACCTACTTCATGCAAAAAATATACAAACAAAATACTCACCTCAAGCAAACTGCTAACCGCTGTTTAGGTTCAATTGCAGATCTCCAAAATGTATCTTGTTTTTTTAACTGATTTTCTACTTTTCCTGTGTCATCCTAAATCCTAAAATATTCGTAGAACTTTGTTTCATCGTCTAGTAAATGTGGATACAGTGTTATAAATTCCCCTTCTGTATCCCTACTTTTCCAGGCATTATGGACCCATACTTTCTTCTTTGATTGAGTTTTATAATTATCCTCTTCATCTAGTGCCAAGGCTATTATAGCCAATTCAGTACTAGTAAAATTTGAAAACATCACTGAACCCTCAAACTAGGTTAGGTATACTATCGCTCGCAACGGGTCTACGTTACAGTGTGACTGGGACGTCAAGGGACGGAGCTCGTGCCGGCACTCGTCTCGCGCTCGTATCGTACACGTCTCGTTTATGTGTGGCTAGACCTTTAGATGTTTATCTTGTATTTTTATGTATCTAGACAAAGTTTACGTGTAGACATTTAGTAAAGTCTGGTCAAATTTACATGTAATGTTCATTTGAGTCGCACGTCCGCCAAAATTTAGGAACCATAAACGTAAAAATAACCAAGAAATAAATTATTTAGAAGTAAAAATAAGGATTGCAGCCAAACACGGAACCGTTACTACACTAGGAAACAAAACGCAAACGATTCAAAACAACAGAAAGACAAAATTGACAAGGACGAGGCGTCAGCAGTTCCTAACTCACCATATAGTAAACTGGGTTATTAAGGAAGCAATTCTGTGATATAAATAGCATGTAGTTCTTACAATAAATATTATCAGTGTCAAAATGTGCAACTCGTGTGTTTCTGAGATACAAGATAATCCCCGACCGAAATTTTATCTTCGCCTGGGAGAACTATGGTTTTAGGACCCTCAGTCCTACATTTGGCCCTTCGAGCCTACGAACGAATTGCTGCGGCGCTATCGCAAGGGTCGCAAGCAGTATTGATAGTACCAAAAATCGTGGTTACTTCTACTAAGTGTTTTTAACGTAGAACCGACCAAATTAACGACTTTATTGCATACTGTATTTTAATTTATATATTTTTAAGTAGCGGAAACTCTACTGCATGAATTTGCGTTAAAGTAGTCCAACTCTCTAGTAACATTGAAATAATTTAGGAACTACTATTAACGTTACTTACAAGTCATTAAAACTTAACAGTGATACAGAGAAGTCACTGTTACTCCTGTAAATCATCAAATATCTACTTGAAAGTAACGTTTACTGAAATGTCGCGGCTCTAGTTCCAATGAGGTCGGTAGAACCTTACTTAAAAGATTAAAATTACGGAACTTAGAACAAGTAATCGTATGGTAGCATTTACTCATGGAAACAACTATACAGTATTGTTGACTTACTGGCTAGCGTTAAAAGTTACCTCTAAGTTAATTTTACGTTCGAAAACTACACTACACCCCCTCTCCCTTACAATTTGGAAAACTCCACCTCTGAGTATCGCTAGGGCATTCTTCCAGAGGGGTTTTCCCTAATCCCTTTTATTACCTCGCCTGTTTTCTCGCGTGCCTATTATCTTTTCAATCAGGTGGGCAATTATTTTCCATTTCTCTTCGCTTTCCAACATTATCTTCACTATGCTTTCCTTCTCTATCATTTCCCCTACCCTGATAGCGACCCGGTATCTTTCACGTTCCCACCTAGGGCATTTTAATACTCCGTGTCCTGCATCGTCCAGCTTACCACAATCTACGCAGGTATCCATCTCTCTTTTTCTTATCCGTTTCAGGTAAACCCCATTCTCCCCATGCCTGGTCAGAAACTGTGTGAGGAAATAGTTAACTTCCCCATGCTTTCTTCCTACCTAGCTTTTTAGATTGTCTATCAGTCCCTTCGTCCACGACTCTCGTTCCTCCCACTCTTCTTCCCATGCATTTAGTACGTCTTTATTATTCTTCCTTTCATGCCTCGCCCAGACCCTTAGCCTCAGCAGAGGTGCGCGGGCCACTACAAATAGATCCTTATTGGATACTGTCCTATACGCCGAAGCTATACTTAAGGACATTTTCCTCTGGACTTTATCAACCACGTCCTTGGCCTTTTTTGTTTTCATTACTCTTCCCCACACCTCGCATCCATATAGTATCACGGTATCGACCGCCGAGGCTAGCACCCTTCTCTTCCACTCATTCGGTCCCCCCGTATTCGCCATCAATCGGCTAATCGGCCATACTTCTTGCTTTTTCCGTGACTTTTTGGATGTGTTGCATGTAGCCCAGGCTCTTATCTATCTTTAGTCCCATCCCAATATGCCTATTTCTTTCCCCACCACTATCCTTGTTCGCTCTACCGTCATTGTCACCTCCGGGAGCCTTCTCCGTCCGGCTATCAGGGCCGCTTGAGTTTTACTGCCCACCAGTCTGAGCCCTCTCTGCTCCATCCACACTTGCACCTTATTTATAGAGCTTTGCGCCTTTTCTGCCGCTCGCTCGATCTTGTGGTCTGTCACCACCACGCTCAGGTCGTCGGCGTACGTCCCTAACACTTATAAGTGGTTGTTACGAAACCACCCGTAGGTATTTAACTGAAGATATTGTGACGGCCATTAATGTATAGATGATGTATAATAACAGAATTATAATAAACAATGAGAGGTTTATTGCTAATACTACAATTGATTCCCTTCGCGTATGTTAAAGGCAAATCCTTTTTTTAATATAAAATTTTGTAAAAAATTAAAATTATGAACGGGCTTCAGTTATTTGGAAGTAGAATGATGCCTTTTCAACAGAAAAATTTTATTTTTTGGTTAACTGAAAACGGTAAAGTGGTATATTAAATGTAATATTTTGAAAGAAATAATCGTAGTGTTAGTTCTTTCACGGTGACCATTTGTTAGTAAATGCAATGAATATGATTTGCAGCTGGGAAAAAAGGACCGAAAAAAGAATGGGTAAATGCTCTACCTAACACAGAGGCTTCCACGTGGTGGCAACATCGTTGGGTCGTAACCGCGAGGTTATGGAACCGTCGCGGTCATTATTCCCTCCACGTAGACAAAACATAGTGGCTACCACGATACTGTTCTCCATTTGGTTCGTTACTACGTAGTAAAATCGAAGCTACTACGTAATTGTACACAGCCTACATTCTCTTTAGAGATTTCAAGTGGTCGTAATTACGTTCCGGGTTACTAAAAATACCGGTTGGGGTTCCGGTCCCAGTGCAGTGAATTCAAGTGTTCGAAAAAGCAACAGATATGGCGATGGAGAAGCTGACCACGGAGCAGTTTGAACTTACAAAAGCCGTGGAGAGGGCCTATTCCAACCTGTAGAAAGAATCTGGGAGGGTCCGACGAGTATCTCCGGAAGCCAGAGACGAAATTATCCACAAAAAAAGTGAGTTAGAAGAGCAATGGACTACATTCAAACAACGCCACTCACAAATCATGGCCCTGCAGCAACTGTCAGACCATAATTACATCACCAACTTCTAGAAACAAACCCGTGAATTGGTCATAGCCTACACGGAATACGTCAACACCCTGTCAAGGGCAGCTTCGGTGAGTCCAAACATCCCACAAGGAGGCGAGCCCAGGGGTAATCGACTTAAAATCCAAGGAGACATTCGCAAGCCCAATCACAAACATATCGTCATAGCAACGGTTACATCACATGGAGGTTGTCAAGAAATACCTCACCTATCCAGCGAGGATCACACGAACCCGCAATTGCGTAAGCAGCAAATGAAATTAGATCGGCTTTCGAGATTCATTCAGGACACACGGGCAGACCTGGAGGAAGAATATCAAAACAGCTATTGGCAGTTAAAAAATTCATCCAAGAAGCCCACGAAGACATCACGGAAAGCACCTGATACATTAGTGACCCATTACGAAGCGACAAGAGACGCAGTTCACCAAATCACCCCGATCTCCCCGATAGAGTTTGTATCTAGTAGACGTAAGAAATGTTGTTGGACTTTCTTTATTCTTTTGGTGTCGGCATAATGACGTTGAAAGTTAAATTTAGAGTACAGAATGGCATCTAGATCTTTCACTGGGCCTACTATTACACATTATCAACACAGAGGTAAGGGTAAGTAATTTAACAATATGGTGATTTTTGGACCTTGGACCCCGATTTCTATTCAAATGATGATTAAATAGCATTCATCGATGGAGAGAAATGTAGGACTCTTGTAACCAGAAGAGTAAGGTTTCAAGAAAATGTACGTCCTGTTCGGTTTATTGCATGTAATATCGTTCGAGTTCAAAAATCTATAAATCTTGGGATGGTTTTGAATAACATTTAATGTTAGCTCGTTAAAATGGGATTAAAAGAAAAATTGAGAAAAACTCGAAGAGTTTGATAGTAACAAACTAGCAAGCTTTATGTAAAGCACGTTTCACGTTAATTCATTTACTTTGAGAACAAGTTCGCCAGAGGTAAACCTACACCTCACAAATTTTAAACTGCTGCAATATAAGATTGCACTCTCTCGTAAGTGCCAGTGTTGATTAAGTTTTGATTAATAAGGTGTTTGTTCCACTATTGCGATCGTTTCGATGACCAAGAATTAGTAGACGGCAAGTAGCTTTTAAATGTTTCACTGTGCGAATGAGGGAATGTAAATCGTTTACGTTTCCTGGTTAATTTTAAATGAAGCACTTACGTACAATACCTCGCACAACCGATAATCGATATATCTGCCACATTTTAATATATAAAACAGAACTTATTAATTTTTTCAAAATTCATTGTTCCGGCAAACAGTTTTAATAACGTGTTCATTTTCTGCAACTTTAATAAAGGTTAATTGTCGAATTTCACGTTACTTGTAGAAACGAAAATATCTTCTAAAGGTAGGGGGGAAATTAGAAAATCCTTAATAAGTATTATTTATGTACTACACCAACGCAACCGGATTTTTTTATAACTTACGTACCTTGCTAAGTACACAATCTTTGCAGACTCCCCAAGTTTAAAATGATGAAGTTAAAGATACGTTTCTTTTATGAATGCGCAATTATTGCAGGTAATCTGTTTTAAGCTTCAATTATAAGAGAATTTCGAAACGAAATGAACTTTCTTATATTAAAAAAGATTTCATTTAGATTTGATTAAATCAGTAGATGTAGAACGAAAAAATTTCCGTTGCAATATACTTCGTTTACTTAACGTAGGTACGTTTTGTTATTACTTATTACGTACTAGCTCCTATATCTCGTTTGTTCTTAATATATTATTCAATTATTGGATTTCTAGATAAATGAATACGTTTTTTTATAAGATTAAACCAATTTGCCTTATGAAGTTTCGTCTTTAAAAGACCTAGCTGCCAATGATAATAGAAATAGCATGTCGTATTTCACCGCTTGAACTGTGCTAATACGGGTGTTCATTTAAGTTCATCAGTAGAATGCGAACACTTTGCCACCACCTTAGACTTTATAAGTGTCTTTGAGCTCTGTGATGGTTATCTATCAAAAACGTTATTTTCCCCATACTAAATAACGAAAAATCATTTTGGTAGATAACCTGTACGTTACATTTGACGTTTCTGATATATCACAAAACTGTTGATCGTGGCCATTTAATCGCGGGAAAGGTTCTCGGTGCAAATAATTTTTGGAAGGGGAACCTTCCGCTGACGAGTATTCCGACAGCTTAGCACGTTATATTCGTTTAAACGTTTGTTTCACGAGAATATTAGTATCCGGAGAATGTCATACGGGGAGGTATTTGTGCTTGTAATTCATTGAGTATCTGTCTTTGATCACAATTCTTTTAAATACTTTTAGAGCACATGGAACATATTTAGGTTCTTTAGGTCTGAAAGTCAGTTAAAGGAACTTAAAGCGTCTACAAGACCCCTCGAGGCTCTTGAAACCTTTTGGAGAAATTGAAAATCTTAAAGGTTTTTAAATGGTCTAAGAAACGTCGAACCTAGTCAACTTCACAGCGCAGTTTGACACGTCGGTTACAAGCTCAGTTCTTAAGGCCACAAAAAGGCTCTATTGCCCATTGTGCCTACCCCCTTTTCTTCGCATCTAAGTTCAGAGCCCGTTTCTCTGAATAAAGGATAGGATCCTGTTTAGCGTAAGTTACTTCACCGTCCCCGGTTCCAGATAACCAGGAACGCTCCCAGGGCTACCTCCCCAGCAGACATTCCTCTCTCCGGCCTGCACACGAGGCTGAGAAGAGCTGTCTCTGTGGACATCCTTCGCCATGTCATATTTGGCACGACCCGGCTTAGGTAGGTGCATAATTCTTACAATCCTCCAGTTTTCGGGGGAAATACCCTAAAGCCAGAGAGGCTCTAAAGAAGAGCAACTAATGCAAGAGCCTCCCCCCTCCATCTCGTCAACAACGGCATTCAATGCAGCCATAATACACCTTGACCGAGGCTCAGTGATGTGCACCTCGGGGTGTAACCCCGGACCAATGGCCACTAAGCTCAGCCTCGCCGCAGCCACTTGGCGCACACGCAACTTTGGGTGATCTAGAACTTCTGGGCTTCTTCACCGGGTTCCTCGAGCCAGACGCTGGAGTGCTTCCACCACACGGGACTAAAAGGATCTTAAACGCAAAACTCTCAGTTGGTGACTCGTAGATTTTCAAGACCGTAGACTGTAATAGCTTTGTAAGACTGTTCAGACTGTGGTTTTTAAAAGCTCTTAAAGAAAAATGCCCATAAAGAAATGCAAATGTCTATTAAATTTTGTATTAACCTGTAACCTTTGAAAACTCTCCATGATCAATACACGCATTTAATGGTTCCGTCTTTACTAGTCCTGCATAATTTCTAGGGAGATCTTAAAGTATTGTCTTGCGAATTCATAAAGACACATTAGGGCTCTAAAATCTCTAAATTCCACCTTAAAATCTTTCTCTTGAAAAACTCCTGGATACGGTGTGCGACTTAAAGAGCCAGAGAAGCTTTTAAAATGTATTGGAAGACTTTTTAAAATCGTTGGAAGCGTACGAGTAAAACTCGGAAGCGAGTTCTTTAATAAAAATATAATAAGACACGTCAATCTTCCATTTTAAGCCTATACTTCACAGCCATATACCAATTTATGTCGATTACAATCTTACAGCTGTCTGTTTCTAACAGCTGCAAGGATATCTTCCACCTCCCTTCCGGAATTCCAGGTGGGAAAAGGTCACTTGCCGGTACCACCGAGTCGCTGAAAAAGTTACGAGTCGT